CTGGTGCTGTCTTCAGGGGGAGAAGGTGCTTCTCTGAGAGTCTTGTGTTTGCTGGGTGATCTTCTGGTGGGTGGGGAAGTTGCTGAAGCCACTGTGCCTGGGTCTCCTTATGCCACTGGGTGGAGGGTAGGGAAATATGTGGCTTTGCCTCTGCTACTGCTATAGGCAAAGTAGGCTACCTGCTGGTGTCACGGTTCTGGAGTGGGAACTGAGACAGCTCAGGGCTTTGCAGCTGTAGGCAGTTCGCATCACTCCCTGGGGTTGGGTTGTGGAATGGGCTTAGTTCCCCCCACTAGGTCTCTATTGGGCTTTTCGTTCCCCAGGCAGTGGTGTGTGTTTGAGTGTGTGTGTGTGAGTGTATTGGTAAGGGTGGTTTTGGGTTGCAGGCCTCTTTGGCACCCAGTATAGGGGTGTATGAGAGATCAAAAGAAACCCAAGGGAACTCACCCTGTTGTCGTTTCTCAAGTTTTAAAATTCCTAGCCAGTCCACCTTCTTCTTTTCTGCTTTCAGAGTCTTTTCATTATTAACTGTTGAATAATTTCTAAGAAACATAGTTGCATTTGAAGGACAGAAGCAGGGAACAATGAGTCTATGTCATCTTGTTCTGAAACGAGAAGTCCCCTAGTGTAGTTTTGAAATACTATTTTAGTATGAGTGAATTTGAGCATCTTTTGATGATTTTTAAAGCCATTTTAATTTCTTTTTCTGTATTAATTTTGATATTATTTATTCATTTTTATATTGGTCTGGTGGCCTTTGACATATTGATTTGTAATAGCTGTTTTCATACTCACTATGAGTTGCAGATATTTTTCCCAGATTATTGTTTCTCTTTTGATTTTGCCCTTTTAATGGTATTTTTGCCATGCAATTTTTAAATGTCATTGAATATATCAATCTCTTCCATAGCTTCGAGGTTTCGTGTCATTTTTAGAAAAGCCTCCTCATTTGAAGATTTTTAAAAAAGATTTAATTAATTTATTTTTTGGAGAGAGGGGAAGGGAGGGGAGAAAGCCAAGAAACATCAATGTGTGGTTGCTTCTCATGCACCCCCTGCTGGGGACCTGGCCCATAACCCAGGCATGTGCCCTGACTGGGAATCCAATCAGTGACCCTTTGGTTCGCAGGCTGGCACTCAATCCACTGAGCCACACCAGCCAGGGCTTCATTTGAAGATTTTTAAAAAATCTCCCCATATTTTTTCTAGTACTTTTATGGTTTCACTTTTCATTTTTAAATCTTTGCTCCATCTGAAATTTAATTTTGTGTAAATTGGGAGTAGTGTATCCAGTTGTCCCAAAGCATTTATTGAATAGTCCATCCTTACCTCTCTACTTTGAAATGCTTCCTTTTAAAAATATTGTGGTCCAAAAACACTTAACATAAAATTTTCCATCTTAACCATTTTTATGCACAGTTCAGTAGTGTTGTTATTCATATTGTTGTGCAACAGATCTCTAAAACTTATCTTCCAAAATTGAAACTCTATACTGAGTGAACAACAACTCCCCATTGAAATGCTACCTTTTTTCATCATAAACTAATTTCTGGTCTTTGTTACTTCTTGCCTGGGCCACTATAGCCGCTTTCTAGCATCACCATAATTCCAGTCTGCCATGCACACCTGATTCATTTTCCTCACACAAGCTCTGACCACTCAACTCCATTATTCAAAACCTTTGCAAGCCGTCCCTGATATACTACAATTGAAATTAATCCCCCCATTACACTCTTTCATAGCACCTGTGCCTTTTCTTTCTGTCTCTTCTCATAATTTGTAATTGTAATTATCCATATGATATTTGACTCTTGACTATCTCCTTGCTCCTAAACGTTAAACTTCACGAAAGAAAGGGCAATGTGCTCACTACGTATTTGCAGTGTTTAGTGTGCACTTGGTATGTAGTAGGTGGTCAATCCATGTTTGTTGAATAATAAGTTCCCCCTAGTCTGTGGAATAAAATGGGAACAGTGCAAAATCTGATTCAAACTCAATCTTCTCTCTGCCCTCTGCCCTTCAAGGAAATCAAGCTGCTGGATTTTCCACCTTTCCCTGACAAAGCCATAAGTTTTCTAATGCTTGGTTCTGGTTTACACCATGCCCTGATCTTTCCATTTGTGCCATGCCCTCCTTTCAGTCCCCCACCTATGGCTATCTCTACCACTAGACTGTGAGTTCCTTGAGAGCAGAGACAGTCGCCCTAATTTGCCCCTAGGGAGCAGCACAGTACCTGGTCTCTAGGAGGCGCTCTTGGTCACACATCTTCATTTGCTTCTAGGCTACAAGCAAGCTCCTTCGAGGCAGGCAGTGTTCCCTACCCGTGAGCATCTGGGACCCTTGCTTCCTAGCCTCCAGGGAGAGACTTGGAGTTGGCTTCAGAAATACTCTGGTAACCTACTGGACATGTCTAGTTGTGTTATGAGACACCTGAATATGAAATGGTGGGGCAGGGACAGAGGCTTCCCTGCCTTTCCCCCACTGCACCCTGGGACAATTCCATCCGTCTGGCCCCTTCTCCAGCAATAAAAAATCACTGCCTCACACCCTCCTACTCCTCACCCCAGCTTAGTCTGGTCTCTCTCTATGGAGGTTGCTCCTTCCTTCCCTCTCCCTCCCTCTGGAGAAGAGCCTGCTCAGTTGGCCACATTTCTGGACCCTGGAACCAGGAGGCAGGATTGCCATGCCCAAATTCTTGTTTTCCCTCCTCCTTCAGGAGCACCTTCTCTAAGGATGTCCAGACCATTCCCTGCCACCACCTGCTTCCCAGCTGCCCTCCTGTCATTTCCGTGATTCCAAGGCAGCCCTTCCCCCTGAGAGGCACTGATCCCCAGCTTGGGCTTCTCCCCACCCTAAGGACTTCTGATACCCTAGGGGCTCTGGAGGACAAAGGTGGCAAACATTCCAGCTTGCTGACTTGTTTTGTTTGGCCAGAATCATGTTTTGTGAAGGCCCCAGCAGGGGAGGGATCCGGAACCCTCCAGCCTTTTAGAAAGGTCTAAACTCCTTCCATGTCCTGCTGTTTTGCTTTAGACCCCACTCCTGAGCCCACACCTGCCCTGTGTCACTAGACTGTCTGGATCCTGAAACCCACCCTCTGACCACAGCTTCCCCTGCTTCCCCTTCACTTCCTGCTCCCCCAATCCTGATCTCTTCTTTGGACACAGACCTCCAAACCCTCCAGCCCACCCTGTTTTATCCACCTTTTCCTCAGCTTCCATTCTTTCTGCTTTGTTTTTCTACTCCTGCCTTTCCAGTTCCTCAGAACCCCATGTCTCCCTGTTTGCAGGCTTAGATAAATCTACCCATCCACCTTCAGTTGAATCATCCTAAAAATCGAAGTTGGTTCATTCTTTTCTTTCTTACAAACTTCCAGAGATTCTCTACCAGCTACAGGTCTGGCGGCACTAAGGATAAAGGCATGCTCCTCACTTGGCCTATGAGATGAAAATTCTGGTTTTTAGCCACCACAGTCCCCTTCACCAACCTGTGGCCTGCATAACAGCTTATCCCGCTACTCATTTTTTTCCTTGGCTGGCTGTAGTCTTATTTAAAAATCCTATTGTTTGTGTAAAGGCACAGAGCAAGGCCACCGAGGATACACCACAAACAAACAGTTGCTACCTCTGTGCAGGGCCAGAGGTGATGAAGATTGAGGGACAGAGTTGGTCAAAGGGTGTATGTAACCTTATCTGTAAGGTTTTCACAAAGAGATTGTGTCATGTACTTACTACTTGTGAGATATTAAAAACAAACACACCAACCAGTTTAGTACCAGGAAGCCTTCCCCAGATTTCCCAGGCAGATGGAGCTGTTTCCTTTCCTGGTATCGAATAGCACCTTCCTCAAGTGTTATAGGCAATATTGTGTTTGTAATTTGTTGGAGCCTGTCTTTCTCCTTCTAGGTGGGGAACCCCTCAAAGGTGCAAACTTTACGTAATTCGTAATTCGTGCTCCCATTCCTAGCAGAGTGCCTGGCCTGGAGTAGCTGCTCAGGGAGTGTGAATCCAGTGCATTGTCTCTGCCAGTTTTGAAAGTGCTTGCTGGAGGACAGTCCTTATGCTAGTCCTGGGCTGATTCAAATAATTTTCACAATGTCTAAGGAAGGATGTCTCTAGGAGTCTTGAGATGTGGGTAGAGAACTTTGGGTTGTACCAACATGAGGACGGGGTCGAACTGCCCCTGCTCCCCAAGGCAGGATCCCGTTACAGTGCTACTGTCTTGTCACTTGGCATGCTTCTGAAGCCACTGCCTCCTCAGCAGTTAATCTAAGGGCAAAGGCTGTATCCTCAGACACTGAACTCAAGCCCAGCCCTGATCTGTATCTCTAAGATGGAGAGGACAGCCCTAATAAACAGGCTGTCCCCATGCAGGGTGGCCCTGGGAGGCTGGAGTCAGGAGACACTCAGACCAGGTTTGGAGGGAGGAATTGAGCAACTGTGAGGCACTGGAAGAAAGCACCAAGATCCTAGTGGGAGTCTGTAACTTTTGTAATTGTCCGGAGAAATTGGAGCTCCCAGGTCATAGGATTCTTTTTAAGTCAAAGGCAAAAAAGAGTAAAGGGGTAGCCTTAATGGGTCAATTAGACTGGGGCTAGAGAGTGGGTGGGGGTGGCTTTTAGGGTTGGTGAACTGTGTGCCATGTGGCTAAGGCAACTCTTCAGACTTAAATGCGCAAGTGGAGAAGAGGCTGAGGAAGGGTCTGGATCAGTCCTTCTTCTGAGAATGCCCCCAAGCAGCCACTGTATTCATCCTTGAATAGCATAATGTGCCTGGAGTCTTAGGACAATGAGGCTAAGTACTTGGGCCCCTCAAGAGATAATGGTGATGGTGGTAGCAGCAGGAATTTGGTGAGTAGTCCCCTCCAGTCTCCCCCATTCCTCCCATCCCACCGCAATCCTGCTCAGCTCCCCACCCACAACCCCACCAGGGGCTTCAGAATTGTTGAAACGACGTCAGGCCATGCCACACACTTTTAGACATCAATGAAAAGCAACTCCAATTTGCCATTGCTAACCTAAGTAACTTTTATTTTTATTTACAACAGAATCGGTGGCTTTATTCTTCCACCTTTAGGGACAGAGGCCATCAGCAGCCAGATGGAAAGTCTGCAGTGAAGTCAAACTCATTCTGCCCCAGCCACAGCTCCGGAAGCTCGTTGGCCCGGTCCAGTCCCAGTTCCACCACCAGTGACATCAGCACCTCCTCATCCACCGGGTCTGAGTCAATGATAGCAGGACCCTGGGCACCAGCCTCCGCCCCTCCCACCTGAGCCCCCGGGCCCCAGTTTTGTTGGGGCCCCTGGGAACCTGCCTCCTCGGGTTGGTCAGGAGTGGCAGCCGCCGCCCCATGATATTGGTTATTAAGCTTCTGCAGCTGCATACTAGCCAGCAGGTGAGGGGTAGGTTGCAGGTTGAAGGGTGGGGGTTTAGCGGGAGGGGTGGTGGTAGGAGAACCCATTGGAGGTGGGGATCCCGAGGCACCAGGGGGAGCCCCATTGGCCTTGGCTCCATTCGCCGCAACCCCGGGGTAGTGCAGAGTGGCTACTGCTTTGCGATCTTTCACGCCCAGGTTAGCAGCGTAGGCCAGAGAGTTCATCTCTTGGTTGGCATCCTAGAAGACAGAGAAAGGCAAAGTATAGTATGAGGCCCCAAAAGCTCTTACATGCACTTCACTTGGGGATAGTGGTGGGGAAGTAGCAAGAACGCCCCCTGGAAAGTTGGCTCTCAGCCTCAGGCTCCTTTTGCTGCCATGGCTCTGAGCACTGAGCTCAGCACCTGCCATCCTTAGTGGGTTTGCTGCTTTCATCTCCCTCCCTTCATCTCACCATTCTAACTCAGGCGAATGACCCTTTTCTCGGTCTCATGTTAATCTTTTCAATGGTGTTGTCTTGTTCCAGTTCTACTTCTCTGCTCCCTGCCCTGCCACCTTTCAACAACCCAAGTGGGTTCGATTTGACCACATTTAGGCAGAAACTTTCCTCATTCTCCCCAGAGAAAGCCCTGTTGTCTCCTCTCTGCTAAAGGACACTAGACACCACACCTAGAAGGGTCTACAACATGGCCCCAGACCAGCTCATCTTTCCATGTCTCAGTGTCTCCATTTGTGAAATGGCAAAAGTTACCTCCTTCGCAGGTGAGGTGCCACCTTTGACATCAAGTGCAGGCCTCGACATCGTTGGCATTTCACAGCCTTGGCAGAAGTTGGACAAGCTGCTGGGAGGTGATGCTGCCAGCTAGAGCTGTTGCGCTGTAACGTGAGAGAGAAGAGGTAAGGGCAAAGGCCTCATTGGCCAAGAAAGCACTAACAAGGCCCCAAACAGAGCAATTCCACACAGCTACAAGGCAAGGATGGTAACAGGGTTAGACACAAGACCAGAGACCACTTGAGCAAGGGAGGAGCTTAAGCTGGAACTTTGTTTGCCTAAAGTAAGAAAGGTGCTTGGTTCAGCCAGGTGCTGCCCAGGTAGCCAGCTACCCACATCACCAAGAGGGTACACGATGGTACTATTCCTGATTCTGAAGCCAGAAATGTCCCTGAGTAAGTAGCACACTGTCCCCACGGGCCACTGGCTTCTGGGCTGGAGAGCTGCAGTCTCCACTGGGACTGAGAGAAAGTGGGAAGGAGTCAGGGCAAGGAAGATCTAGAAATCAGGAGGGTGCAGCCCAGGGAAGGAGTAAGTCTCCAAGGCAAATGCCATGGAGCTCCAAAGCACTCACTCAGGTGTGAGTCTTAGAAAAGCCAGGCTTATCAAGGTGGCAGGGGGCTCTGAACCCACCAAGAGAGCCTTGAGGAATGTCTCCAGTTCCTCCCTGCCTCAAGCCTCCTCCCCAAGATAGCCCTGGGTAAACTGGTCCAAGCCCAGCCACACCCACCTGTAGTGACATAAGGGAATAATTCTTCCCGGAGGGAAACAGGCACAGAGATTCAATGGCTTTCCTATCTGATAGCAGTGGTTCTGGGAGCAGGATCTAGCACTCTTATGCCCGCAGGTCTCACCTGACCACCAAATTATACCTAGAATGATTCAAATGGTTTCCAAAGAGATAACTGCCTAGTTCAAGTGCCAAAGGATGAGAGGGTGAGGGGATGAGGGGGAAAGAATTCCCCCAAATCAGAAAATAAAAAATCCCCTCACCTGAAAACTCTCAAGTTATTTTCCTAGCAGCTTGTTTTTCTAAAGCCTCATATATTCCAGCCTTCGTGATGAATTAGAGATGTCGAATTTCATATTTATAAAAACAGTTTGCCCCAAAGAATCTTCAGCACCTGAAAAAGCATCTCTATTCTTTCCAACAAGGCTAGAATTCTCCTTGACAACTCCCTCCTCCAGTGGTCATTAAGAATCTGTTCAGACTCTTCTAGAAAGTGGCCACTTACTACCTCTGTTTATCGTCTTCACAGCACTTATTTGTAGGAGAGGGAGGCAAGAAAAATAGAGGAAGGAACAAGTGGGGAACAAAACATGAGAAAAAAATATCAGTTTCTGGGTGGCCGGCACCACTGCTTTTTGGAGCCCTATTTATTCTCTGAGGTAAACCGGTAACATTTCAAGTCAGTGATCACGAGACACGAAGTCTAATCCATGTGTCTTCCAGAGCCCAGCACCCTCACTATCAAGCAGCTTTCACGTCCTAAGAAAAGTGTTGAGGGGCTCTGCCCATCTTTCCCGGTTCCTATACAGCCCTCCTTCTTTGTGCCGCCCGGCACCCGAATGTACAAAAGAAGAAACAACAGTAGCAACAACAATAACAAAAAGGGGAGGAAAAAGAGAAATAGGAAAAAAAAAAAGCGCACCAGAAAAAAGTATCTCTTTTAATATCAGGTCCCGGGGAAGACCTATTTTTTTTTAAAATAAATAAACCGTATTTCCTCCCTTCAGGCTGGGAGACCCCCATTAATGGGACCCTGTTTCCATTCAGATCTGTTGCCTCCCCTCACTGCTCCCCTCCCCCTCACACCTGCCTAAGCCCCGCCTGGGTCTGTGCTCGGTGGGCGCTCAGTCCCGTCTGAAGAGGCAATCGCGTTTCGAAATCCCTGCCCCTACTTGCCCGATTTTCCGTCTCCGCTCCGCCACCCAGCCCGTTGGAAGGCAAAACTTGGCAGCTCGGGAACGTCCCAGCCTGCTCTCCAAGCCCCGAGCTGACCGGTGTGATACGGCTGCGAGAGGCGATCGGGCAACCCAGAGCAACAAGTGCCTCCTCGCACACTGGTGCCTCGCGGGCTGTCTACCAGTTCCCGCCCAACCTTCTCGTCAGACCTTCCCGTGGCCCGGCGGCCCCCTCCCGCCGAGATGGGGATGGGGAGGGGAGAGGAAGAAGAAAGAAGGGAGAGGCAGGTAAGAGGGCCTCCTCTTTGACCTGTTGGAGAACCAAAAGTTAAAACACCGCCAACGGGATGGTGCCATCTCGATGGCTATTTTCTCACTCAGGAGAAATTTAAAAATCCAAACAGTACTGCGGCTTGGCTCAGACGCGCTCTAACCTACACCGGTCCGTCCGTTTCGCCACCTGAAAACTAAAGGCCCGTTGTTTGCGGACGGCTCGGCTGCCCTCCTTGCCGTATCCCAGGTAGAGCCGTCCGCGCCGGGGGCGGCCTGGAGCATCCCTGCACAGTGGGCGCGAGCGCCCAGGCCACCCGGGCTGAGAGCGTCCGTTCCCGCAAGCGCTGTGTCAGTCACCCATCGTAGAGACCGCACAAACACGCGGGCAGGGGAGCGGGGGCCCGGCCCCGCGGAGTGCCCGCACTCGGGGGCGAACTCAGGCTCCAGCGGCGGCCACTCCTGAGCCTCAGCAACACTTACTGAGAGCCCGCTGAGCACGCGACACGGCCGCAGGCTGAGCCTACCCACCCCTTGGCCAGGCCGCCTGTGGTCAGTGCTCTAACCCCGCTACCAGAAGAGTGAGAGAGGCTCCGAGAGGTTCGGTAACTTGCCCAAGGTCACAGCGCTAGGAATTCGCAGCCTCGTCTTTCTGACTCCAAGTCCAGCGCTCTTCGAGGCAGAGACTCCAAGAGCGGCTGGGCTCAGCTGCGCTGATTTATAAAGGAGAGGGGTGTGCGCGCGGGTGTGCGTGGCTGTGTGGGCGTGTGTGTTGTGGGGGGGGGGGAGCGGAGAGCAGAGGTCAACTAGATAGTAGAGGCAAGTTGCCCAAATTCGCTAACTTCCATCCCGCAATTCCCCTGAACGCGGCCCGAAAAGCCCCTCTTGCCTGCAGCCCCCAAAGGAAACCTGAGCTTTGTGCAGCCCCGGAGCCGGAGCGTCCAGATGCGGTCCGGGAGATGAGCAAAGTCCGTGGAAGCCGAGCTGGAGAAAGCGCGGGCGCGGGGAGAAAAGGTACTGCCGTCTCCCCGGGAGAAGCGGGCGCCTGGCGCGGCCGGCCGGGAGGCGGGAGCGCTGGAGAGCGAACCGGCTCACTGGCGGGCGGGCGGGCGGTGGCCCCTCCACCCCCAGCAGAGCAGCTCCCAAACAGAAAACAACTCCCTCAGAGCCCCCCGGCCCGCGCGGCCGCCGCCCGCTCCCCGCTCCCCAAGCCCGCTCCACTGGAGTCCCCGGCCCCTCCGCCCAGCCCAGCGCCCTACCGGGCGGCCCGGCTTACCTCAGCGAAGCTGCCTGCCCTGGAGAGGGAAGCGCGGAACCCGGTGAGCCGCGGGCGAAATGGCAGAGCCCCCAGCCCCTGGCACGCACGCACGCCGCCACCGCCGCGAACCGGTCGCGCTCAGTGCCACCCGACCCCGGGGCGCCTGGGAAAAGCCCGCACCGCCGCCCCGCCACCGCGCCGCACCGTGCCGCGCCAAGCGGCCCCGGCCCGCGTCCGCCCGCCCGCCCGCCCGCCCGCGGCTTCGGCGCCTGACTCCGGGGTGGTAGCGGTGGTGGCCGCCACGCTCCCTTCCCGGTGCGGGGGACCCGGCTCTCAAGCCCCCATTGCCGCCCGGAGAGCCCTGACGCACACGCACTCGGCAGCAGGCTGGCTTCGGCAAGGAATCCCAGAAAGGACAGACCCCTTTCCCCCCTTTTTTCCCTCTCCCCCTCAATTTCCACGTCTTTATAACCGGCTTAGGGCATTATTAGCACATGTCCTGGCTCGTGGGCGAGTTGATGGCAAAATCTGAACTGGATACTTACCCAGGGCCAGAGCTGTTGCTGTGCCTTCCTCAGCCTTCTCCTTCCTCGTCGGGAATGAGCCTCAGTCTGCGGGCTGCGGACGGACTGCTGGGAGGAGAGTGAGCCTCCTCTCGGGCAGCTCACCCGTATCCCTTCTGCAGCTGTGCCGCTGGGAACATTTTTATAGCGGTGGCTAGCGTGTGTGGCCCTTTAAAAGGCGCTCGAGCTGGTGCAGTCGCCGCGGATCGTGTGAAAGCAAAGGGCCGGCTGGGGAACGGAGTCCGAGCGGCCCCGCGGGGTCCGGCAGCGCTGGGGACGGGCCACAGCTCTCGGAATGGGGCTGGGGGGCCCGGGCCATTGGCACCCCGAACCCCGAGTTCCCGTCTGACGCCTGTACTTCTAAAACTGGCGGGACCCGGGGTCCGGGACGTAGTCTCTCCCTACCGCCCTGCATGGACTTGCCCAGTAAATTCCACTTAGTAATTTCGCTGAGGCGAAGGAAAGCTGTTAGTGTATGTTTTCTGACCTAAATCTAGCGGATGGCCTGAGAGGGCTTCAAGAGGGGTTGAGGGGAGAGCTGTAGACTCAGGGAGTGACTTCGACCAGGGGGCGCACAAGGGACGGTGCCAGGGAGGGGGCACGATTGTGTTGTCTCCAGGGCTCTCTGGAGCCTGTCTGCCCCCTAGGGCTGCACTATCTCCGTTGTCGAAGGGACGAGACTGGGCTCCCCTTTCCCCTTAAAGTCGCCAGATTCCAGGCAGAGCCTCCTTGAGGGCCTATGTGCTGGCAGCGGTGGCTTCCCTCGAAGGCCTGAGCCGGGTTGGGTTTCACGTACTCTCTCATGGTTATCCAGGGCAGATGGAGGCTGGCAGGATGCGACACAGAAATACGCTGCCCTCCCGGACCAGCTCAAGGGGCACGCCAAAAAGCCAAAGACCAGGGAGCAGGGAATGAACGGCTTGCCCCCTGGGCTCGCAGGGATTCCTCCTGCCTTCCCAAGATGCCAGGTTATTTTATTATGACTATACAATCTTTCACATCCAGCAAGAATATCTTGCATTTGGAGCACATCTTTCCCACGTTGGGGTGTTATCTTACAAATCTTTACAGGAAAGAGGTCCGGCCTTCTCCATCTCATTTCGTGTTCCTTGTAGCCAAGAAGCTCTGTCTCACCTCCTACAGGAAGGCCACCAAGATTACCCCTCTACCACACTCCCTTTTCTGGCCCCTTTCAGCAACAACTACTTCGTTTACACTGTTTATAAAACATGCTCTTTTAAAAAGTCCCCATGTTATGAAAAAGGGGGGGGGGAATGACACCAAGGCATATATATTCACTATGTATGCGTTCTGTCTTCTTAATTGGATTTGAAGACCCGAAGTTCTTCCCGCCCCCCTTTTCTCTTCTTGCTTTTCTTTAATCCCCAAGTGCCTTGCATTTGCTCTTCGAACAAAGTTCTGTTTGCGGACGGACTGAACTGCTTACTGACACAAAGATGGGCAGCAAACAGAGGGGCAGGTCAAGGCCCTTCTTTGAGGCTTGGAGGAACCTAGGGCGAGTTCTCTGGACTCCAGGTAAACTCATTTCCCAGCCTTGCGCGTCTTCATTCCTTCCCCTCACCCAACCCCAACGCAAAACCCAGTAACAATCACAATATTGCTGCACTTTCTCACTTTACCCAAAGATCGTGGGTTGTTACCCAGTTTCCCTATGATAAAAGGCGGGATATTTCGAGTCAATAAAACCCTTCAGAGTTTGTGTATAAAATACACCCTCAAGCCATCTCCGTGTTTGCCTGAGGCGAGGGACCCTAGGTTTTCAAATTGTGCGTTACTACTGTGGAACTCCGACCTATCCTCTCTCTCAGCCCTCAGTGGGGAGCAGATCTAGAACCGGCAGCAGCGGCTTCGTTGCAGGCTCCGGATCCGGGAGGTGGCGAGTCCGCCCTCCATCTATTGGATGGTTCCCAGGCCAATTGTTAGAAAGAGGCATATGTTCATCTGGGCTTCTGGAGTGTCTCCGGAGCAGTTGCTCAACAGCCATCCCCTCCCCCATCCGGACCATTGAAGGGCAGAAAAAAGAGCGCCCTCCGCCCCATTTCTGTGCCCACATGCCAGAAAGGGTCTTCCCACTGGTGACTTCCTGTCATCTCTACTGTCCACCTCCCGGGGAGCAGGAAAGAGGGGCTTCAAAGGGCTCGGCTCTGGAGCACAAAAGCCACCCCTTTCTTTTGGGGGGAGATGGGAGAGGAGGTTAGTTGCAGAGGCTGGGAGAGCGCAAAGGAGACATTTGCATTTCTCTGCAAATAAGCCCCGGATCTCTGACTTCCTAGTCAGCTCCAGCCGAGCTCAGAGCTCTCCGCTGAACTCTCCAACTTGGCAACTAGACTTCGAGCTCGCGTAGCAAGTAGAGGACGAGGATGGTCACCGGGCAAGAACTTTCTGTGTGCCCGCGTTAGGCCTGGCATGTTCCCATCCATCATCCCATTTAAGACCCACCTGTGAGGCAGGATTTACCAAAGGTGAAACGCCGTCCCAGAGATTTGTCCAAGTTCACACGGCCAGGAGGTGGGTGTTCGAGTCGGGTTAAGCTGTCTGCAAAGTCCTTACCCTCATCCCTACACTTCGCTGCCTGGGAGGGTAAGGAAGCATCTAGGCTGTGTCCAGAGTACAGGTTCAGGGGTCAATCTGCCTGGGTTTAAATCCCTACTTTGCTGTTTACTAGCTGTGTGATGTTAGGCCACGTGGCTTCATTGTTAGGACCTTAGTTTTCCCATCTGCTAAACGGGGAATAATGGTACCAACTCTGTGGAGTTATTGCAAGGACTGAAGGAAAAAGCGTAGCGTGTTTGGTGCCTGCTGTGTAGTAAGTGGTCAAAAAGTGCTGTTTTTTGCCTTTTGATTCTTCTTCTTTCACCTCCTAGCCCTGCCTTAGCTCGCACACTTCAGATGCAATAATACTTGCTGAATGATTAATACCAAAAAACAAAAAACAAAAACAACAGCCTGAGAGGAGGTGAAAGAGGTCTATAAACTCAGGAAGGGTAGGGAGAGGAAAATGCAGATTTGTTCTCAAAATCCCACCCTCCAGAACCCAGGGGTTTAAGCCACATGACAGGAGTAAATTAGGGACCAGTCCAAGATGATTGCTTTTTTTCCGGACAGCCATAAACGTCCAAAATAGTCTCCAGAAACATATACTCAATATGTGTGTTGAAAAGTTAAAAAGCATAAGTCTTTGTTCAAGAATTTTTGGAGCAGAATTGTTTATAATAGTGAAAAATAGAAAGCAATCTAAAAGCCCATGGTGAGCCCTGGCTGGTGTGGCTCAGTGGATTGAGTGCCGGCCTGTAAACCAAGGGGTTGTCGGTTCAGTTCCCAGTCAGGGCACATGCCTGGGTTGCAGGCTGGGTCCCTAGTTGGGGGGCGCGTGAGAGACAACCAAACGTTGATGTTTCTCTCCCTCTCTTTCTACCTCCCTTCCCCTCTCTAAAAATCAAATAAAACCTTTTAAAAATTATAAAAAACATAAATGTTTATGGTGAGGAAGTGTCCCTTGAGACCTTGACACTTCAAAAACAACAACAACAACAAAACCCCTAAACCAACTGATTTCTAAAACTCATTTATGAGAAAATGTTCACTACAAAATATTAAACTAAAAAAACTCCGGGTACAAAGTTGCATAAATATGATGATGCTAAGTTGCAAAGGGCACAAAGTCTAGAATATTAAATGGTACCTTTCCAGCTCTGTATGAATATGGGTAATGAAGTGATGGTCAGGAAAACACCGGCAACATAGTCTGTGGGGTGGTAGGGTTATGGGTGATTTTTTTTCTCTTTTCTCCATGGCATACAATATTATTCTTACAATTAAATGTAAGTTTATAGTTAATTGCATAAACAGTATGCCCCCACTTTTGTTAAAATTTTATGTGCAAAGAAGAAATATGGGAAGTAAATACACCAAAATGATAACAGTGATTATAATTGAATAGTGAGATTATGGTGCTATTTTTCTTTTCCTCTTCTTTTATTTTTCTGCAACATGATTATATTATTTTCTTACAATTAAAACAGATTCAGATTTGGGAAAGTGGATAATCAGTATGATCCCACTTGTGTTAGAAGTATGTATATAAATTGAAAAAAATGGGAAGAAGATATATGAAAATACTAAGTTTTTATATTAGATGGTAAAGGATTATGGGTAATTTTCCATAATATGATTTTATTACTTTTGTAATTAAAATAAAATGATACCTACAAATGGCATATGCAGTAGGATCCCTCTTATGTGTATATGTATATATCTATATGTGCATGGAATAAATAATAGGCTACTCCAAAACACAGCTGTCTCTGGGAGGTGGGGGTGACTTGTTTTCTCCTTTATACAAGGTTTCTTCATTTTCCAGTTGTTTTTACAGACACCATGTATTTTTTTTAATTATAAAAATGTAAAAATCAGTTCAATAAGGAAGTATTGATGGGAAAAAGAGCATGTCTAGCATTTGCTTTAAAACAATCCGGTGGGGGTAGGGTTAAGTGGGTGGGAATATAGATAAAATGAGATGCATACATGGCCTTCTTCATTGTGTTTACTTGTGTATATGTTTGAAGAGTTCCATAAATATTTTTAAAAGCATTTTCACATACATTATCTCTTTCACTCTTATGCTAACCCTGTGGGGTTATGTCCATTTTATAGAAAACTAGGGTTCAAAGAGGCGAAGTCACTTGTCCTAGGTGACACCATGGCGAGCGAGAGAGTGGGTGACCTGGGCTCCTCACTGCAAGCCCAGGGCTCATCACCATATTCCAGTTGCTTCTTCTTTTTAATAATTAAAAATAGTTAACATTTTGTTTGGTTATAAATGTCATAACTGTT